GTCGCCTCCGAGTTCCTCACCGTGTCTAGACTAGGGGGGAAGCGACCATTTCTCTGGCAGACGCTGGTGCACAAACGAAAACCAGAGCCTGCAGCTTGAAGGCCGAGGATGTACAACGACAGAGCCCACCGAAGCGCACGACCCCTGGCGCCCAACAGCCCCGCCACAGGCTGAGCCCAGATCTCCCTTCTCGCGAGATTCCTCGTCTTCCCGGACCTCCTGCTGAAACCTCGCGGGCTCTCAGCTGACGGGGGCTGCGAGGGGAGGCTGCTAGCCCTTTTCCCGACCCACAGAGCACCTCAACCCTTGGCCCACCCCGCCGGCCACAAGCAGCGGTCCTCAAGGCTGTCCGAAGACTTCCGGAGCCCGGCCGGAACCGGAAGCCTCTGGGCGTGACGGGAGGGGTACGGCCTAAAATCGAAAAAGCGCGGTGACAGCTGGAGGCTCTGGCGCAGTCGGCGGTGGTGACTGTGGAACAGGTGGTGGTCGGAGGCAGGTCGGGATGGACTCCACTGCCTCCTTGAAGTCCTTGCTCCTGAGCATCAGTCAGTACAAAGCCGTTAAGTCGGAGGCGAGCGCCACGCAGCTTTTGAGGCACTTGGAAGTAAGGGATTTCGGAACGCTGGACCAGAGAAGCTACCGCTTCCAGCCATCCCCAACGCGGTGGGACGGAAGGGATAGCGCTGGGGAGGGGGCGACAACCCTGAGGGGGGGGGCAGCAAACTGGAGGGACACCGCTGAGGGCGGCAAAGCACCGGGCGGAGGGGGGCAACAAAGCTGGGGGGTGGGGGCGCGGCGCCTGAAGGGAGCCAGTAGCGCCACTGTAGGAGTCTGACAGAGCTGTGGTGGCGGGTGAGCAAAGGCATTCAGGAGGATGCTGGGAAGGGAAGAGGCGTCTAGACCCTCGGGTGGGCCCCGGTGCCGCAGGTCTGCAAGTTTGCGCGGTTGGTACTGGAGAACTCTTGGCCAAGGCTCCTTGTTGTTGGCGGGTTTTTGGATGTTTTGTTTTCTTCTCCCTCGAAGCCAAGCCACTTTTACTGTACAGCCATTCTCTGAAATCGAGGGGGGTGAAGTTACGCTTGAAAACGATTTTTTTTCCCTCAACATAATCTCGGTCTTTTGTTTAATGCTCTTATTTGAACTTACTGATATTTCAACCTTTGAATTAAGAAACAACCACCCTTCTTAGTAATTGTAATCTTTTTACCAAGATACTTTCCTCTCAGTTTTTACTTCTCAAGGGCTAAATTGCTTTCTGTTCTGGTTTTTTTTCATTCTGATTTCAATTGTCTGTTTTAGCCTTCTAATCTGATCTTATTTGTTATGGTTCTTAGATTTAAAAATATGTTTCTGGAGATATAGCTCATTGGCAGATGCTTGTCTAGCATAACTCAAGACCCCGGTTTCATTCAATCCCCAGTGTCAAAAAAAAGAGAGAACTTTTTAAAAAGCCGTTAAGCTTTAATACTCAGTCACATCTTTTGATTTGTTAACATAAAATTGAATTTGAACAATTCTGTTATTTAACCTTGTGACCAAAATTAAAATACCCAAAATTAGCAAAATATTTGTACTTATTTTAAAGAGATGGTAACTGTGAATGGTATGGTAGCCCATCCTTTAATGAAATAAGTGTAATAAATGTCTTTGTTACATTAAAGCTTTACTGGTACTTCTCTTACCATTTTACATGCTCATCTTCTAAGTACATTTTTCTTTATTACCCTAACACAATCCCAGAAACCTAATAATTAAGATTTTAGCTAATGAATGTTTAAAACCTTGCTTCTTGATTAGGACATTATCAAACACTGTGGACTGAAAAAGTCAAAAGATAACTGGGGTCTTTGGTTTTATTTATGAATTAAGAATTAAACATTTTGAATAAATAAGTCCAAACATCACCTCTCTTTGAGAATGAACAGTTACCGAGTACAATGATACAAACTTCCATGAAATTTGGAGCTCAAGTCTCTACTCCTAGAATACAGTATACCTAAACTTTCAAGGAGTTTACTGAAAACTCTTCTACCTATGCAAAAGCACTAGATTGAGGTCACTATTTCTAATAGCTTTCTTTTTTTAATTGAGAGCATAGATGCCATACATAAAACACATTAATCTTTATTTGGTCTTTTTGAGACAGGGTTTTCCTGTAGCCCTACCTGGCCTGCAGGCTGGTCTTGAACACACAGAGATCCTCCTGCCTCTGCCACCATGCCCAGCAAAACACTTTAATCTTTAAACAAAGAGCGTTTTAGGTTTTCACTTGTTAGTGACATGTGTACACTCATGTTGTTAGCACCTGTATCATGATCTAGAATGTTTCCGGTACTCCATAGATTTTTTTTTCATAATAAAGCTCAGATAAGTAAACTCAAATAACGTCATTTTATCTGGCTTGGTTCTCTCTGCATAATCAGTGAAATCCATTCAGGTTGTGCATGTAATGAGGACTTTATTTTTATTACTATGTGTTACTGAGTTTATATAAATTTACCCACAGGTTATATACATTTACTTATCAATAGGCATTGTTTTCCAGTTATGTATGGAATTATGAATAAATTGTACCTCAAACATTGTTTTGTTGGTAAATTCACTCCTTTCTTAAACACCTGTCAGCAGAATCATTAAGTCATAGGAAAGCTTATGTTTACTTTTATTTCAAACTGTTAAAACAGTTTTCCGAAAGACTGGGGCATTTTACTTAGCAGCAGTGTATTGAATTGCCATCATTCAGTCACACCTGTTCTTGGTGTTTTCATACTTCTTAATTTTTGCCATTTTGAGGAAAATCTGTGTTTTTGGTGGTGAATGTCTTCATGCCAACTTCATGAGAGTAGTTTCTGAGGATACACATTTGTGTATCATGTTAAAGGATTTTTCATTCTTCTGAACTTTCAGAAATACTTTCACTGTATAACACCATGTAAAACCTTGGCTTCAAGTTATATTTGATTGGCAGAGCTAAACTGAGCTGTTTCATTTTTTGATGATGAATTTCACATCACTAACTTTGTAACTAGTGATAAAAAGCAGAAATTTAAGGGTCAAGTTCTTTGGGTTATAAATCTCAGTTGTACTTTATCATCAGTGTGTGCAGCAGTTTATTCATATATAAAGTAAAACAGTACACCTATCTTATATAATTATGAAAGTGAAAAGAGTTAGCATATGTAAAGTACCTAAGACTGAAGTGCTGTATAACTATTAGTTATTACTAAAATAAATTAATTTCATTAAAACAGTGTATATGACTAAGAGGTGTTTAATTTTTACCGTGGATTAAGTGATTACTATATATTAGATTATATGTTATTTACATACAAGTCCAGTCCCATAGTGAATTATGTTTAAAGCAGAAAAAGTCTTTATCTTCTGGAGGGCTAAAATTAATAATAGAGGAAAGAGACCATGCTCAGAAAGTTCTCTACCCACAAATATATTATGAGTATCTACAATTTCATCTTTGGACTTATTTTTTAATTCTTATAAACATTAGTAAAATTAAAATACATTCTCCTTGGGAATAGATAGTAGAAAACTCAGTAGCAAAGTATTATAATAAAAATAGTAAGTGAGAAACTAGAAGAGAGCTATAGAGAGGGAATAAACAGATGCCAAAGCACTCTACTTAGGTGTGATAGCCTAAAGTATGTATTTAGGACTTGTTTAATATAATTCAAAAGTAACGGTTTGAATTTTAGTACAGCCTGATATTAAGTCTCTCTCCCTTGGAAACAACTAAAAACGTACCTTGGTTACTTTAAAAAAGAATTCTCAATTAACTTTTTATTGTTTCTGCATAATCTCTTAACTCCTAGGCTCAGCTTTTCAGGAATAATCATGTGGTTATCCATTGGGCTTCATATCCCATTCTCCTTAAAGCAGATGGAATGAGTCTGTTAGACTTAAAGAATAAATCTTTTGGCTCTAGAGCACAGAGCCTAGTCTGTGGTCAGTATACTATAGTAAAGAAGATAAATATTGCTAGATAATCAAATTTCACTCATTCATTAAATAGAAGTGATGTACTGTATGCCTGGTGTAATAAGTAAAATTAACTTAGATGATGTAAGTGGCTTAGGAAAAGCTTTCTAGAGGAAATTAAACTGAGATCCAGGTGATTGGTTTAGCTGGAGAGGGATTGTGTATCTGGGTAGAGATAACAGCAGGTGTGCATTTTCTAAATTGGGAAAGAAAGTGACTAAGTACCACTTTGGAAAAACAGTTTATTTGAATTGGAGAAGAAATGAAATTTGCCAACTCTTAACACACAACTTTGGTTATTGTTTTATAGGTAATTTCTGGACAAAAGCTCACACGACTGTTTACATCAAATCAGATATTGCCGAGTGAATGCATAAATTGCCTTGTAGAACTACTTGAAGACCCAAACATAATTGCTTCCCTGATCTTAAGTATTACCAATTTGCTGTCTCAACTAGGTAATGTATTTACATTTTTTTCAGATTTTGGAAGATTATGAATATTTTTAAAGGCCATATATATTTATAGAATCTCTTCAGGCATGATTCACGTTCAAAAGATTTCTTCATTGTAGAACCTTTTAGAGTTAGTCTTAGGGATTTCTTTGATCAAACAATGTGCCACATATCTGAGACTCCTACATTCTGCAGAAAAGAATGCAGGGGAATGCAATTCTACTTTTGAATTTAAAAACAATAAAAATCCACAAATTCTGGTATGTTTAGTATAAAAACCTCCAGTAATCCAGAAACACTAGCATAGAGTGTCGTTGTTCAGTAGAACAATAAAACTATTTTTAGTGATAGAAATATTCGGAGTTTGTATTGTGTAGTAGAATCGCCACTTGGCATTTAAGACCCTTAAGCATTTGAAGTCTGAGGAACTGAATCTTGAATCCTAATTAAACTAAATGTAAATAGCTATGGATAGAGTGGTCACTACCATGTTAGATAACAGAGATACAGGATAAAATGACATGAGTTTTTATTCATTATCTCCAGCCTTCT